AATTTTTCATGTGTCCAATCTCAGTCTCTCCAGGAAGGAAAAAAAAAAAGCTCTAAAGGAGAAAAACTTCACCTTCACCTTTCAAAACTTCACGTGGAAGTGCATTCCCAATGCATAGTTTGTTTTTTGCCTATTTTAGACAGTCTTCTGGGAAGTGATCTGGATGAGATAAACATCAGTCTCAAGTTTATGCTCTGCATCTCTTGGTGGAATGAAATTGCTGAGTGAAGAAGGAAGGATTATGCTAAATTGCTGAAATCCCACTGCAGTTTTCTTGTTACTTAGGAATTAAAAAACCTACAGACTACTTAAAAAATAAAGAAAAATCAGACAATGTGTAGGTTGAAGACATCTAGAATATTGGTTGCGCAGTGTGGTGCTTGGGAAGAACTCCAGCAAGGTCATTGTCCCTCTTTCTCTCAGGTCAGGAATAGTGTATCCTTCAATATCAAGAAATGCTAAAGGCACTAATGTAAGAGGCACAACGATTTCACTGCAAGCAAGAAGAATATACTTTGAAAAAAATAATTTAATTGTGTAGACAGCTAAAATTATGGGATATGGCTTGCCTTTTGTTAGTGCTCTATGGAAACCCAGAAAGAGCAGCCAATGGTAAAAGTACAGTCTGTTATGGACAGCCTTTACAAGTTGCAGTGGGTGCTTTGCTTTACAGCTTAGAAGGTAGCACCAACCCTCTAGATTGTGAGGCTAATTAAATCTGTCTTAAAATATTGACAGTCTCCCTTCCCACAAAATCAGCAGTAGAGCAACATAGTCTTTCCTGAGCTGTCTTGCACCTGGTCGCTTGGAGGGTGGGCAGGGCAGAGTCATTTTTCTAGATGTATGATGAAATTTGGTGTAAAAAGGAGGAAAGCATCCTTCCCTTCATGAAATGACTAAGTAAGGTGAGTTGTGATAAATTCATGCAGCAACATGAGATGCTAGACTCTGAGACGCATTAGGGCTGCAAAAGTGTTTGAGATAGCTATCTATCTGAGTTATTTGGCAGGATGCCTCCAGTTCCAGAAATATCATTTCCTATCAGCTGAAGGCTCATGTGTCACTGCTGTTCCAGCTGATGAATGTGCAAAATGCTGTGGGTAGGTGGTGGGAAGAACTGAATAAGAGGAGTGGGACAGATAAGAACTGCACAGCAATAAAAAGTAATTTCTTCCTCCTCTTTTAGCTTCACTGCTCATCTCTGTCTCTGTGAAGACATTTCTGGCTTTTTTGATTCTTCCTACTGCAATTTTTATCATTTTTGTTGATATGTACAATATACCAATATACTGTTAAGAGTTGATGAAAGAGAAAAGGAGCATGTAGAAAGGGAGAAAGGTTGTCAAAGTGCCTGAGGTGTTTTAATCTACAGCTGTACTTCTTGATTAGAAAATTACATTAAAATTGTCTGGCATACTTCAGTTGCACATTACTGCTGGACACAGAGACAGCATAAATTGGCTGGAAGTTTTTATATACTTATTTTTGTAAGAATGGCTGTATAAGAAGGAGCTGTCAGTATGTTAGGTATCAGGGCCAGAAGAACTAAGAAGACTGAATTAAGCATAACAGTATTTTTATACATTCTTAATTGTCCTGAAAAGGCTGCCTTCAATGCAGGAATACGCATCAACATTTAATTGAAGAGGGAGAATAAGAAGCCTGTTTTTAGATCCCCCTGGGAGAAGTTAGTTGTCTAAACAAATCCTCAAAATCTTTTCTGTAACTTCAAAAAGGAAGGAATGTTTTGTGAAGATATTTGATTTTGTGGTTTTATATGCACAACCAATTGCATTCATTTCACTAGTCATTTGTTTTTGCCGTCCTCCATTCCCTTTACCTCCTTGGAAGGGTAAAAACAAGTACTAAATAACCAAAAGTAATTGTTTAATAAATGCAAGTCTTCAATTCAAAATTATCTGGTAAGAAAATGTTCTAAAATGCTAAAAGATGATTCTTACATTTTTCATCTGACAGTGCACAGAATTGTTATTTTTTTTTTAAATGCAAAAGAAGCAAAAGAATGCCTATAGGTTAATGAGGATTACTACTTCTTACTACAAAAGGATATGGCACATAGATATATGCAAACCACGTTATCTAGGTGTTTAGAATAATTTCATTTTGAATGATGCAGAGTCTAGAAAGCTTATCTTCCCTGATCTCTACAGTTTTTCAGTGGCTGTCAATGCACAGAGCAGTGAAGCAGAGAGAGTAAACCAAGCAACTAGGAATAAGCAGAGGAATGCATTCTGGAACCTGCCAGCCTGCAGCTGCTCACCTTGCATACAAATCAATTTTTTGCACATAACCCCAGAGTAGAATATATTACAAAGTAGCATATGTCCTCTGCTGTCAGTATAAGAGCGGAACCCAGTACAGATTTTTTTCTTGGTTAGGACCATGATAAAAACTGGAATTATATGCTTCCAACTTCTGTTTATGAAAGCACTTGGAAAACAGAGGCAATGTGAACAGACTTAGCAGAATCAGACTTCCAAGGAGGGATCTGATGGGATTATGTATTTTATGCAGGAATGGGTGGCAATGAGCAGAAGTGTAAGAAAAGTATATGCTCGTCATCTAAAACGAGAACATTCTACTTCCACACTTACACCCAGGACATTCACTCAGGTATGCAATTGCTAAATAAAACTCACGTTACCGGATCAAGATCTAATGATGGAAGGCACCTTCTTGTGCCTAATCTGTCTCAAGAGTCCCACCCAAATCAATTGATTGTGCAGAGGATTTGAAGGATCAGGCCCCTAAAGGATAGCTGTTTCCATTCTCTTATTTAGACTTGCCTGAAATTTTTCTAGTATTCTTGCAAAATATGGTTGAAGACGGCTATTAGAATAGACTAATTCATACTTAGAGACCACGATATTCAACTTCAATTCAATCAATTTCTTGTACTGCTGAAAATACAACTCTCATCCTTGAATAAAAAACATACTTCCAAGTGCAGGGCACAGAGGTTTACAGAGTAATAGATATTACAGAGTAATTTGCTACTGAGAGATAGCAAAAACTTCAATATGAGTTTAGAAATCAGAAAGTTATCGTTGGTTTAGAAGACATCAAATTGGGCAGATTTTGCTAAAAATAAAGTTTTGATCCTGCCTCAAAATATTTCTTCTCTGTGCTGCTAATTTGAATTTTATCCGAGAAGTGATTTGCCTCCCCCATGTAAATCCAGCTCTGTCTCTGATATTTTAGACAAGTGAAAACCAGAAGAAAGTATTTTGAATAACTGTAATTAACTTCTGTGATGGCAATTTTTTTTTCAATTAAAAACTCACTAGAAGCACAGAGAAACAGCAATGACAGACAGTGATGTTTCAAAGAACATGACAGCATTTATGTTCCTTTAGAATTACCATTGCATTAGGTTTTATTAGTTTGCAGGAGTTTCCTTCTGAGGAGAAAAGGAACTGCTCTTCAATCACATCTACTACTCATTTTTTTATCAAACACTGTGTGGAAGAGACACATAGTTTTTGAGATGATAAAAAAATTGCCAAGTCCACCAGAAGAAGAAAAAAAAAATATAACTTTTTAAGGTATATTTTAACTTCAATAATTTGTAACCATTTGTCATCCAGAGGATAGTATAAAGTCATTGCTATTTAGAGTTGAATCTGTTTTGTTTGCTTAATAACAATTATTGAGACAGTCTGTAAAAGACATAATCTAGTCTAACACTTTAAAACTAGTTTTTGAAAAACTGGATAGTTTAAGAATTTAATGGTTAAAAGCTTGAAAAATACAAAATCACTTTTAATGGTGAAATATAGTTGGTAGTTTAGGAAAAAAATGAAAATAACCTTTTTGTACATGTGGCAACTATTCCATGTTTAATCCAAGTATGACAATGGAGTTCCCATAATGCACTATTCAAGGCAAAAGTGCTCAGTGTTGAGGTCAGACCCAGGGAACAACTGCCCTAAGGACTGCAATGGAAGGAACGAAAAATGTCCTTTGGCACACGTTTTTCAATTTTGTAAAATAACTTTGAGAGAAAAAATAAAAATGCATGAGAGAACTTTTTAGTAATTTGCAATCTGAAGAAAATCACATATTCCTAGTGCTATTATAGAATAATTTTTACTCATGGCCTATCAACTATGGTCTGCTACAATGACACAAACAAGCAGGAATCTTATCCTGCTTCAATAGAGTACTTTAGAAATCAATGACCAACTTGTGTTTAACCAGTCATAAAAAAGACAGTTAAAAGCTTGAAAAACTGTAGAAGTTATGCCTACAGCTGCTTCAGAGATAGGCAAGTCTTTTATTTATATCAAAATAATAGCTTTCTTATAACTCTGCCTTTTTACCTTATGTTAAAACCGATATGTGGAAGTAAGTAAGTGGCTAATTCCATGAATCCCAGAACTTTGCAGAAAGCAACGTCTGTGTTTTGATCCCACCAGAGACATTTCTTGCTGTCTTTTGGTGGTTTCTTTATAGCAAGCAGATCGTCGATAAAATATTTCCCAAAACCTATGGGACATAGCTCAAGCATTTTAAATATAAATGAGTGGTTTCATCGGCTTTGGCTTATTTGCCAGTGCCACTGTATGTTGCTCTGAGCCTCAGGGATATGGCAGCATTTAGAAGAAAGTATGGGAATGAAGAACAAAACCAACATATTTAACCTTTGCCTGAATTGTGTATAGCTTCTATGCCAAGGGAGAATAGTAAAGATTCTAATATACAATAATTATTCATAAACATCGCTTACACTACAAATTTAGCTGAATTTTTTAAGAATCTTTTCCTTAAAAATGAATAGTAGTAAGGAGAGAATTCTTCCATGTTTTTCTTTTTCAGGCAATTACATATGAAAATTCTTCATCAGGCTCTGTGGTGGTGAAGGTTAATGTGGCCTCTATAATTTGAGATGAAACTGAACGTGTCCTTCACTTTTTCTGTACTTTCACCATCCCTCCGCAGTGTGAAAACACAGCAGTCTTCACCACTACAGGCAACATTTAAAGATAGAGGTATCCAACCCAGTAGACCAGGTTAAACAGCAGGAAGGATGTAGGAAAAAAGACCCTAGAGTAAGAGTCCAGTTCCAAGATGTCTATGTGAATCCGTCCTCTCCTCCATGAGCCTGATTTACACTCTTCGTAGCAACAGAAAAAGCTCTGGCAGTCTTTCCCATCCAGACATTCGTAGACGCACGCATCTTCAAATTCTTGCCAATACATGGCATTGTTCAATGTGATGACTGTAGTTGGTGGTCTCATATCGAGTACAGAATAATTCTGATGAGAGAAAAAGAAAACAATAGTTTGATGAGCTTCTATGGATGATGGAGATCACAATTAGTAATCAAAAAATCACAGGACCTAGGAGTAAGAGATTGATACTACAGGAATTCTACATTTGGGAACATCTTTCTTTCCCTTCAAAAGATGCCTTTTCAGATGAATCTCCATAGAGAGATTGTGGAGTGACAAGTTGAATAGCTCTAGATGTATTGGGTAACTTCAAGCATATCTTTCCTCCTAACCATTTTTTCACACCTAGGAGTTCAATTACCTGTCAGAATATTATTTGCAAGTGGCTTTAAACACTTACTGCTGCTACATTTAAGAATGTATTCTGCTTCCCCGTTGAGTTACAGAACAATCTCCACTTAGTACAGCTGCGTTCACTGCCTCTTAACTTTACCATGCTTTATGAAAACAGATATGGTCAGCAACAGATAGTGATGATTTCAGTACAGGATTTCAAAATACCATCCTAGGCATGTGCCCTTAGTCTTTATCACACAAACCATGCTCAGAAATAGGGCACTTTGATATCACACATCCTCACAGTACTGCTTGCGCCTACAGACCATTCCTTCTTCAGTGAACTCCCTATTTACACTTTGTCAGTTTCCTGAAAGGTGTTTTCTCACAATAGTCCCCTCTCTCATCAAGGCACTCGTTCCATCCTCACAAATGTCACCTCCTCCACTGGCATCGCTAGGAAAGGTTCCATAGCTTTGTTGTGTGTCTGCACCACCCTGACAAAGCAGACTCCAGCACGGTTTTCTCCACCTTGGGGGCCCTTCCTCTCCCAGTGATTGTGCTGAGCACTGCCTTTGCCTGCAGGAGCATGCCGGGTATGTACTAACAAGCTAGCCATGCCTCTTCATCATGCCTGCTTGCATTCTGAAGAGTGCTCTGGGCCCCTGCTTCCACACTGGCCATGCAAAACACCTGTTGAAGGTGTTGAGGCATCTCTGAACTCTTTCACTCTATGTGAAACAGATCAGTGATATGATTGATGTGTCTCAGTGGAAATTTTCCTTTTTCTATTGACTTTATTTTTCTTCCAGAAATCCTTTGGTTTCACACACAATAATATTACGCATCTCATTAAAAATGCCAGTCTCTGAGCTAAGAACTTGATGTGGCATCCCTCTGCTTAGATATTGGCATCTAAACAACTGCCCTATGATATTCAGCCAATTCATCTCGTCATAAGTAAATGGCTAAAATCTCTCAGGTGTATTGTGCTGTGAACTGTAAACAGATTGCTGTTCAGAAGCAGATTATTGGAAATCTGTTTGCTTTGAATGACTTCATCTCTGAGATTAGATGACTTCATGGTCTTCTCTCTCATTTATAAAGTTTCAGGTGGCTGGTATCAGAGCTTTACGATGTGTTGCCACATGGAAAAGTTCTAAGATTATCATACAAGCAATCATTTTTTGACTGTAGCACTTTGTAGAGAAAAAAACTATGACTAAAATATACATGAAATTCTGCTATACCAGTGTGTCACATATTGTTTATTTCTTGCATGCCTTTATGAAAAATTTCTACCTAGGGACTGAAATTTTCTATGCCTAGCTACAATATTTATATTAAAAAGAAGAAAGACTAATTTAGATCCTTCCAGATGATTTTGGTAAGTGAAAAAAAATAAGTGCCCTGGTTCTGCAAAGGAAACTTTCTCATCTATCAATAGCCTGAGTTTTTTGTTACTGTTTTGTTATATAAACTATCTGCTTACGACAGAAGAGAAAATAAATGCCTTGATAATACAGAGAGATTAATCTGGTTTCTTTAGTCTCTGTCAGCTAGGAGAGGTCCTGAAATGACTAGATACCAGGTGAATGTGGATGGTAGCCACTGTGTTCTGTGCATCCTGCTGAGCTGGGGTGGGGAGGAGAGGGGTGTATGCACAGCCCCATACTACCTGGGAGCTCTGGCAAGGCAAGGCACTTCTCAGGTGCCTTGGACAAGGCAGTTCAGTTGCAGTGTTAAACACACTTAATAAAATTATTTCAGACAAGGTATGAATATGTTCTCTAGGAAGAAAAACAAGAGGTGGGATTACCTGAACTGAAATTTACTAAGATTAATACATTTCACATTTTAGGTGGCATCACTACAAGGCTGGAAAAGACAAGATGATATCTTTAGAGGCAGAGACACTGCTTATTTTATGCAGTTTCTGCTACAATTTGAACATGGAAGTTATTTATGTATGGAGCAAGGCCCTGCTCAATATCTGTCTTATGGTTAAAAAAAAAGAAAATAAAAGAGTGAGTAAAAAGCTTGAAAAGGCTGCAGATACATTCCAAGCAGATCAGACTGACTAGGTCTAGACAAACACTAAGAGTGTTAAACCTATTGTCATTTTGATTGTGTGTCTTTTCCTTTCTCTTTTTTAATTGGAAACAGGAAAGTGCCACTACGTTTTCAATGTGTCTTATTAACTCCATCTTTCAGAAGTCTGTCCAAGGAGTGACAGCAGTAGTGAGTGTATAAATGCAGTGCTTGCTGTAAACCATTCATTGTCAATGAGCAGGCTTTCAATGCTATATGAGCCCTCTAAATACATCAGAAAACTCATGTTAAACAAAAAAAAGGTGTATAGCATTATTTGTAAAAGGTAAGCTAGTAACACAGAACTAGCAGTTGTAAATGATAAACTGCAGCATAGCCAAACCAAGAAATGCAAAAACAATGTTTTAATTCTGTCCTTGTTCTTATTTGGTTCTGATAGCTGGGAAGCAGGTCATCCAACCTGTTGATTAACTGGCCCTCTGCATGCTTTACATTTATATATATTAGAGTATGTATTCCAGTTTCAGATTTCATACAACTTAGAGATACAATTTTGTGCTCGGTTTCAACTTTATTACCACTGTGTGTATATAAATAGTTATCTAGAAGTTTGGGGAATAGAATTTATTCCATTTGTAGATAGAATACAACTAACTGTGAAACTTGTGTGCCTAAATTATTTGAAAATCCACCTGAAAGCTTGCTAAAGATTTTACAGATATGCATAAATTATTTTCTATGAAACTCAGTTCAAAGTCCATATGACATAACTTGTGCTTACTACTTTTTTATAAAATATGAGAACCTGCAGTATTATATAAAGCAGACACAAAATTTCTGAGATAAAAATAACACACAATATTCTACATTTGACCCTTCTCCCTCCTAAATCATTTGATAAGTCCTTATAGAAAGAGGCAGGTATGTTCCTCTGCCATGGCCAAAAACAAACTGACCTTTAACAAAAAAGCATAACAATATTTATAGTGAAGTCAGGGTAAAGCATAACGTAGCATTATAATTTTCTCTCGAATTATTGCACGTAAATGTCAATGATACATTCATGCCTCCATTGCTCCCACTGAATAAAATAATTTACTTACCATCACATGACCAAAACTGACATCAGGTAGCTTAAATAAAGATAATAAAAGAATATTCAGAAGAAAATATATGTATTGCTTCATATGCATTTAATACTCAATAGCATTCCTTAAACTAAGCCTTTAAATGCATTTGTCCATAAACCTCTACATTCTGAGTATTCTATATGTTCAGCATAATATTCTGTACACTTTAAAGCTGCATGAAGCCTCAACAGAATGCTCACGTAGTTTCCATCCACCTTAAATCTTGTCAACCCATTAGATTTATTTATTTAGGAAGCAATACCTAAATGAGCATATGTTCTTGCGTTAACTTCAATCTCATCAATGTTGTATGCTTTCCCTCATCTCCATTCACATGTCTGTAAATTCATCCCACTCACAGAGATACTCATGACTTTTTCCTTCAGTCTTCTGTAGGATGGCAATTTTAGTTTGATCATTACCAAATTCATTTTGACTGTCTCATACTTTTCTTTTGGTAACGCTGTCTTGTCTTTTGTGTGCAATGCATTTTTACAAGAACCTATTAGAGGTTTAATGGAGTTTTCATTGACTAAGTTCATGGGTTTCTAGGCTTTCTCTAGCTCAGTATTCGTTTCAGCTTTTCCTTCATTAGTTCATCATTCAGTCATTTTCTATAGCTCTTCATTCAGCCCCCTTTTACCTCATGACCTATTATTCCCTGAGTTTAGCCTTCTCCCTCTTCAATTTCCTCCTTCACATTTTTCCTGTTTGGCTTTGTGTTTCTGATTTCAATTAGCCTTATTTCCTCCATTATGCAAAATGACATCCAACATCTTCAACTACTGATCTCAAACAGATGAGATTTTCCACTGATCTTGAGTGGACAACCCACTTCCCCTTCCCTGAGTTTACACTGATTTTTTTCTCCATTTTACTGCCCTGTCATTCTCATAGTCAATTATGAAGAACACCAGGCAAGTCCTCCTGCATGATTGTTTTAGATGATTCTAAGTAAACAGCTTTTGTGTGTGTGTCTGGGCGTTACTCTTGGGAGTGTCTTCTTGGCTAAAAACGCAGCCATGTATAAAACCTTTGTGAGTGACCTCCTCTGTTTTTGTACTTAGGACCAGGTTTGATTTTTTGTACGTTGGGCTAAAAACAAGTGCAGATTCCCAGTGGACACATTGAAATCCCATTTGTGAAGTTCATAAATATTTCTGGATCTGTTAAACCATGAAATAGCAGGTGTATTTGAATATACATTGATGTGCATATATTTGTATAACTGGCTATGCACTCTGTTTCAGTGGGAACCCTTTAAGACTACCAGCACATTAACCGGAGGACAAAAGATGTGTAGGCAGGGTTGCTGCCTCATGATCAGCAGGCTGCTTCTCTTAGGAGCAGATCTCGCTCAATGGGCACATAATTGCTTCTAGTGTTACTGCAGTTAACTATTCTCTGTTGGCTTTCAGGGCAGATCACACCACAAACTGGGAAGAGCTTGGAGGAGCGGAGTATAATGGGATCACAGGCTGTCATTGAATGATTCTCTGCTCTCTGAGACAAACACATACTAGAAAACAAATTTAAATGCTCACATCTTACCGACTTTTTCTTCTTAGTACAGTTTGGTTTCCTGCAACTTGAGTAGTAGTTGAGGGTTGCATACTCCATCAGAGCAGCAAAGACAAACAGAAAGCATACAGTCACAAACAAATCCATAGCAGTGACATAGGAGACACGGGGTAATGACTTTCTCGCAATGGTACTCAAAGTTGTCATGGTCAATACTGTGGTAATGCCTGCAGAGAGAAACTTGATTTAGTGGTATGCAACATCATTTCTCCATGTCGCAGAAGAATCTTTGGAAACAAACACACAAAACATAAATCCAAAGTGTGCCGAATTAATCACAAGGAATTCATTAATTTCATTTGGTAGTATAAAAATGCATAAAAAATAACATCAGTAGAGCCACTGTTATTTTGTAAACAAAGATTTCCTCAGCTGTTTATATTCATCTTTACAAAACTGACATTCTCCTGCCTTTCAATATGCTTTTCCTCATCTCTTCCTTTTTCTGTTCCCAGTTAGGGTGGAGATTGGAGTGAGGTAGAAGGAGAGAATGCAGACATTTTTGAAGAAAAGTATAAAGCAGAAAAGATACTAAACCCAGAGGGAAAAAAAAAGAAACCTAGAAAACAATGAAGGAAACATGGTCATTTTCACTGCTCTCATGAAAAGTCTTATACTTAAAAGAGAAAAAAAGGGAGGAGGGAAGAAAATAATAGAAATTTTGCTGCAAAGTTCTGACCATGAATTTTGAAAATATGCTTTCACATCGCTGCTTCCTTGAGAGTCCTTCACTGCGATTTTCCTTCTGAGTAAGCGAAAACAGACTCTCATACAAACCTCAGCTGTAAACATTAGCGGAAACAGCCTTTTTAACTCATATAAAGCATTGCATCTTAGATTGATTTAGTAATAATGAATATAATGAGAATTACTTAGTGTGAAATATCCTGAAACAATAAAACCAGTTCTAGAATGAAAGCTATGGGCTGTCAGTTATTTGGCTGCTGATAATTAGTATAATTTCTCTTCATTCCTGAGGAATAGAAGTCTTTCATTCCTACTTTGGACTGATGCTTTTAATCATTTGTTATGAACTGCAAACCTTCTGATAGAAAAAATAAAACTCCTCAATGGCTTGGGAAGAAAAATAAAGCTCTCATTCAAATAAGTGTCAAGAGAGAACCTGCTCTAAAAACAACATCGCCATAAGGTAATCTTTCTTTTTATAGTTAAAGTGATATTTTGCAATGGTACGCAGTGTTTGAAATGGCAGGGGATGACTTAAATTATGCCTTCTAGTAAAATTACTTCCCACAAACGGCACTCTAGAGAGACAGAAGTATCTGTGGATTACTTTTGACTTCTTTCTGTTTATGAAGGAATGCCCACCTCTGATTTGTAGCACTTGATAGAAACTACAGTGACTCACAAGAGTAGCCATTCAAATCACCAGAAAGATGGATGAGCCAGAAGGCAGATTGTTGCCTGGGCCTCAACCTTCTACAGTGAATAATACCTAATTGTATTTCTTAAATATCCACTACCTAGCAACTAAAAAAGCAAAGAAAAAACGAATTTGCTGAAAAAACACAACCCAACAATCAAGACAAAAGCAATGCTGATAGGAACTGGGAAATGTGAACTTTGTAGATGGATATTTAAAAGATAGTGGGAAAATGTTTCCGTTTCCTGTCAACTGTGCCACCTCCCAATATAAGCACGTGTGGCTGCCATGACCAAGTAACCTCTCCAGACCCTTTAACAACAGTTCTGTAGCTAGCTGATGCTTTGGAAAAGCTCCAGAGACAAACCCCATGCGTAGCCATTTATCACAGTAGTCAGACGCAAAGATGTCCAGCTGCAAATGGTGTTGACTCACTAGTCTTGATTTGGCTTTTACTAACTATAGGTTAATTAGTCTTTCTGTATGACCATGACTCAGGCCTTGGGAGTAGCTAACTTCAGGACAACTGCATCCAGACTATGACATACTCTGCATATGTAATGGAGTTCTTTAACACTTTCTAACTCACAGTTATATTACCAACACAAACCTGTACTTTTCAGAGCCACATGTACCTGCAGCAGCTCCCAGGTATTTTACTGCCTTTAAATAATCCCTCAAAACATATAGTGTTCTTCTAGTACCATATACAACGTCCTTTTTACCTGGACTCAGGGAAAAATTTGTATTTCTTATTCATTCTGTAAGAGGATCTCAGATTACTTTAGGACACTTTTTCATTAAAAGGCAAAAAATAAATAAAAGGAGAAAAAAAAAGATTGCAATGCTCAAAATCTTTTTTTTTTTTTTTTGCAAAGCTCTGCAATTTTTCTACTGAATGCTGTACTGACAATGTAATATTTTTCCTCTATTTTTACTGAAATGGAGGTATAACTTGGTATTATTTGTTACAAGAAGTATCGTGCAGGTATCTGTAATGATGACCGGCTGCCAAAGTGAGTATGGACAGGAATGCAGAGAAGTGAAAGAAAAATTAATGTTAGCCTTGGTCCTTAAGTATAGAAGTCCCAATTTCAGCCTGAGTCCTAAGTCCATGCCTTAAATGCGAATGTGAAATGCCTACCCAAATCATGCTTGAGACTGTGAAAACCTAGGAAGTCTAAGTGAGAACTAAGCAAAACCAATCCAGCAAATCATGTTGTAAATCATAGAATCATAGAATGGCATAGGCTGGAAGGGATCTTAGAGATCATCTAATCCAACCTCCCTGTCATGGGCAGGGACACCTCTCAACTAGATCAGGCTACTCAAGGCTCCATCCAACCTGGCCTTGAACACCTCCAGGGAGGGGGCATCCACAACCTCTCTGGGCAATCTATTCCAAAGTCTCACCACCCTTGTACTGAAGAATTTCTTCCTAAAATCTAATCTAAATCTGTTCTCCTTCAACTTAAACCCATTTCCCCTTGTCCTATCAATGGACACTCTTGTAAAAAGTCCCTCCCCAGCCTTCCTGTAGGTTCCCTTCAGGTATTGGAAGGCAGCTATTAGGTCCCCCCAAAGTCTTCTCTTTTCAAGGCTGAACAATCCCAGCTCCCGCAACCTGTCCTCATAGCAGAGGTGCTCCAGCCCCTCGATCATCTTTGTGGCCCTCCTCTGAACACGCTCCAACAGATCTATGCCTCACTGATACAGATTCTAGGAGTTTTAGGTTGCTCCAGACTAATTTTAACTGATCGAAACAAAGTAGGTTCTACTAAATTTATAGACATAACAGTGGTGTAAGATTTATTTTGGTTTTAAGATATTAATAGTATCTATCCTCAGTCTCTTTGACAACAAATCACATTTTGCTACCAGAATATAAAACCTCAGGGAAAGGAAAGTTTAGCATCACAAGCCATCCTAGTTTCTGGATTTTACATGGACATGAGACAAAATTGCTGAGCACATAGATGGAAACACCCAAAGGTAAAATAAACATATTTTTACTTTTATTATTTATGCAATATATTTTTGTGATGTGAAATCCAATAGAAAAGCATAATTCTTCATTTAAGACGAGGTTTTAACTTGGATCTCACCTAATACCATAAACAAGTAAGGAGGTTTTGAAATAATAAAAATTCTTCCCCGTATATCAATTTTAAACTTGACACATAGGCAAAAGTTTCAGAATATTAAAATGAGTCTTATGGGGATATATACAGAGAGCAAAGAGAAAGAAGGTGCAGCAGATGATACAGTTTTGTATTCCTATAAGTTTACAAGTCAGAATATACAGATATGCATATATGAAAAAAATGCAGCACCTATTATTTCCGTAGTGAATATTTAGATTCCATACACTTAGCTCATTTTATCTCTCATGCTAAGAAAATTCAGTTTGTTGACTGGTTTCAAATGCAACAAACCTTGCCAGATGAAATTGTTATGTCTCTCACTTTGGGAAGGCCTGCATGGTAAAGTGAGCTTTGCATCTGTTATTGAAATTCACAGTGCTCTTGAACTGTCTGTTTCAACAGAATTTTAATATCAGCCAAGGACAGTTTTGAAGTAACCTGGCTTCAAGATTTTCAGGTAGACAGGTGTAAGTGGGAGCTTACCAATTTGTGTATTAATACTGGTTTGTGACAGTTGTACTCTCTGAGCAAATTCCATACCAAAGATGATGTATGATAAATCAGAAAGGACTGTCTGGGAGATCAAATGATGAGGGGATACATAATGCGTGAGAACACTTTAACCTTTAGATCATTGGCCTAAACAGCCATTGTTGTTTGAAAGCCCCTTACTGGACAGCAGTATGCAAAGTGTGGTAGCAGGATCTTCAGCATCAGAAACTCTTTGGTTAGTGAGGCTCATTTTTTCTTATTTTCCTAAGTGCATGTTCCTGGGACACCATGGGGAAGGTGTACTGCTTTTACCCATGCTATCACTTGTTTATAAACTGAATTTCCCCACCTTTTGGTCTGAGACCTGTTTTGATCATTTGCTTGTTTTTCAAGTGAGTGAGCTTAAGATGGAATGACAAGGAGAGCAGTGTTCATTTTTTGTTAAACACAATCTGTATCTTCTTTTACATCAACACATTGCTGACCTTGATACCCGCTGGTTTTTTTTTGAACTGCAGTTTGAAGTTGCTCGGTAGTAACTGCCTAGTCCTATTACATATTATATCCATTTTGAAAAAGCAGGGGGAAACTAGGATGAAAGCTTCAGTTTAACTTAATTCCCTTCATCTTCGAGGAAAACAACCTATTCTTTTCTAGATCATAAGTTTTCTTCAGACACTTGCTGACTGCTCTTGACTGTGAACATCCAGAGATCATTTTGATCACTAGAGACAAGCAGAAACAGGAGAGAGCCTTTTTTGCCTTTTTTTTTTTTTTTTTTTGAATGGAAAGCAGAATAACCTGGGATCACAAAACACAGTTCTCATCCAACACTCAAATTTTATTTCCAGTTTCCCACTGACTCTTCAGGTGGCCTGGAATGAGTCACGTCATTGTCACTCTGGGCTTCAGCCCCTCAAATTGCACAGGAAAAAGGGACTATGATGCCAAGTTTTTAAAGAGCACTTTGTTGCCTCTGGACAGTGTTGCTGAAAGGATACTTATGGTCCCATTTTTTTCCCTCACAGCCAAATACCCTGATTGCATTTAGTTTTTTCTAGCACAGAAATAGCTTATTACTTCGCGTTATCCAGAAAGAGGTAAAACCTGTCCTTCATGTAACTGTAAGTAGTTGCCAATAGCTCAGGAAATTACTTGTTCATTTCAGAGAGTGAAATGTCTCCTTGATGCTAGCCCTTTATATTAATGAAGCTATACTTGGAGCAGGTTTGGTACACTGAGTCTACAATTCATTTCAACTAATTAGCAAGACAATTTCAGTGTTTTGCCTTTGGCTGTATTAGTCACAATTTCACCATGCGCTGCTATCCAAACGTGGATGTGTGCTGTTGCTCAGACAGATTTATAAGTTGCATTATACAAGCAGACCTACAGTAAACTGGGAATGTCTGCTTACTGCATCCCAAGAGTCAACAGGCCATTGCCGATTTGGGAGCAACAGGACTCTGCACAAATAGAGGTGACCCATTTATATATTATTTTCCTGTCATTTGACTTAATTTATAAAAAAGTTATTTTTTAGCCCAGTAATTTAATTTTTCATGAGAGTTGTAGGAGTTAGTCATGATAGCCATTGAATATAGCCTTGGAACATCTCATTTTTATGTTCTTACTTCAAATTCATGACCTCAGTATATGAATACATTTTTTCTCTTAAGTTCCTGCTGGCTGAGGGGGTGAGGCAGGGAGTGTCACACTGCTATGACTAGTGATCTAACCTACTTCCATTTCTAATTAATTGGAAAATGGAATTATGTGATGTGGGCAACTGCCCTCAGGGACAGGGTATGAGCACTGCTTCTGGAAAATTAGTAAACAAAACTGTTAGATGCCTTTTCTCCCTTTTCTCTTAAGCGTTGTGAAGGGTGATCAATCTTTTCTTATCTCCACTGATTCACTTAATTTAAGAAGAAAGAAGTTCAACAGAGAAGTACGGTAAAGGCCCGTTGCTCCATTTTCTGGTGACCAAAGGAAAGTCTACAAAGCCAGGAACAAGCAGTCATGCAGCTGCTCTCATCTGTCCTCACCTTTGTGTTGTCTTCATGCTGTTCTGGAATTGGAGGGCGTCACAGAAGATCTGTGAGTCTTAGGGTCCATCATGTTGCTGGAGCCACTGTGTAAAGGCACTTAGGCACTTAGGAAGGGAGTGAGGACTGAATATTCCTTTCTCAGAAAATAACCTCAGAAAACTGGACCCACATGATGCCACAGGACTTATAATGGCCAGAAGTGCTACATTTGTTAATTTTACAAACTGCTGGAGCAAGTCTAGCAGGTTATGGTTTTGTGCTGACCTCATGCAAAATGGGTTTTAATACAGAATTATCTGTAAAGTGTGAATCAGTGTTGGCTGCTTGCAGTTGTCTTTCTACAGGTTCTCTGAGATTTTTCTTTCTATTGATCCTGTTGCACAGCCCCATGCCACTGAGCGGCTCTTGGTTTAAAAGGATGCCTCTTGCCACTCATAAAGAATTAAAGCTGATACAGCCTCCCCTTACGAAGATGCATAAAGGTTGAC